GTCTTCCTGCCTTGGGAACCCCCACAAGGTCTTCCTAACAAACAAACATAATGCAAACTATACAAGCAAATATTTTAGGATGCCATGGAAACCCTCCAAAATCCTATACCAAAAGCCACGGGAACCCCCACGTGGTCTTCCATGCAAATAACCTACTATCATATCGCACATTCAATCAATAACCGTATCTCATAAAATGGGCCGGCCTTGGTGCCATAGACCCATTGATATGGTAAGAAGACCCACCTCTCACAGGCTGAACCGACAAACTGTAGGCAGATATATCCCACACTGCTCCTCCCAAACTGCCTATAATCAATGCGTAAATGACTCAGCATAATCCCATAAATACCCCCAGGGTCAACCCTGGTCAAAGTCAAGGTCTATAGTCAAGGTCAACAGTCCATATTGACCTTGACTCGACGAGTACAATCAGTCACTCGTCGGGTCCACTTCTTCACTCACCAACTCGCCGAGTCACCCGAGGGACTCATCAAGTTCCTTGATGTTCACGGCCGTAAACCACCAACCGTACACCCCTGACCGTGAACCCTTGGCCGTAAACCCTTGGTCGTAAACCCTTGGCAGTGAACCCTCTCGACTCTCCGAGTCACCAGAGGGACTCGACGAGTTCTCACGTAATCGGTTCTTTCCAGTAGGATTTAAGGTTTCAAACTTCAGATCCATACTCTCCTAATGAAGATGTCACAACTCTCAAATAGAATTTATGCTTAAGGTAACAGATTCATACCTCAAATCAATGCCCAAGACGAACTAGATGCTAGATCTAGTGTTTTCCCCTTGATACTTCTTCTTCAAGCTTGGAATCCTCCCCAAAATCTCAAGGATAAGCTCCCAATTGATCTTAATTCACTCACAAGAGGGTGTGCGGCCGTAAACGTTCTTCTATGGTATACTGGAGCGGGTAATGACGTTTATAAAGGGGGCAAACCCAAAATTTAGGGTTTTCTTTAAACAGCTCGGACTCGCCGAGTCGACCTTCAACTCGCCGAGTCGACCTTCAACTCGCCGATTCGGTCCCGTTCCGCGTTTCCTGATCTCACGACCCTACTCGACGAGTTGACCTCCCAACTCGCCGAGTCCATGCATAAATCCTTTCTAATTCAAACCAGGTGTTACAGGTTAGGCCTTACTTTTCATGGGCTATATAAGAGATGCATGAGGCTTGCATTTTTGCAAGAGTGAAGCACTTCTTCTTCCTCTCTTTTCTCTCTAGAACCGTGGGTTCTTCTTCTCTTCTTCCTCTCTCTCTCTCTCTCTCTCTCTCTCTCTCTCTTTTGATGTTATTTTGGTGATTAGAAGCCCTCTTGAGTTGTCTCCTTTAGTGCTTATTTTAGTTAAGCACTTAAAGGTTTAAGACACTCAAGAACACAAGAAGGAAGTAGCATTCCAATTGTCTTACTCTTGATGGTGGATACTTGTAGAGAAGATCATACACTTTGATCTTTCGTTATCTTCATCAACACCCCAAAACCAAGTGGGTTCAAAGATTATCTCTAAAACATCCTATGGTTGGTTTTATTTCATTCTAACCTCTATAAATGGATCCATGATGGTTTGGTTTTGTTATGAACTAAAAATAAACTTGTTATTTTTAAAGTCTTTTGTTGCCGGTTTTTGTGAAAAACAAACTTTTATTTCATATCAAAACCGAACACTTCCGATCCACAACCCTGAATCACAGAATTACCCAGAACAGGGTGTTACACACGCACAGTCCAGCTACGTTGTAGGCCCTGCGAGCCGGTCCAGTCAGGCCGAAGGCCCGAAGAGGGGTCCAGATAGGTTGTAGGTCGTGCAAGGCGGTCCGGTCATGCTGAAAGCTCATGTATGCATGGTGTTATCTGTTTGGTTGTGTGTGGTACTTTGGGGGAATTCAATAAACTTTAGCTTACAGTTTGAATTTATGGTTTCAGGTACTTCAGAGGACAAAGGCAAGGTGAAGCATTGATCGTGCACATCTTCCTGGATTTTTATGAGATTATGATTTTAGGATACTATGAATCTTGTTTATGACTTTTGGAAACTATGTTTTGTAAATATTTATGCTTTTGGATTGGTTTCAAAAATAGAAAATTTTACCTTGATATTTGGCATGTTACATTTTAAAATAGAGCAGGTTGGAGATCAGTCACTACTAGCACTATTTTTCACTCCAAAAATAGAGTGAAAATAGAGTTGGGTTGGAGATGATCTAACTCCCCTCTTCCTCGTTCTAATCATTTTCTTTAAAACCCAAATCTTGTGTTCAAATTAAATTCATGAGGGAGATAATGAGAATCTACATCTAAGGTCACCCAATGAAAAGCACATAGTCGACTACAAGGAGAAAGATGAGAGACAATTATGTTTACCAAGCAATAACATCCAGATGAGTACCTCAATGATACGAGCCTAACTTAAAAAATGTTTGTGATTTACTGTTATCAACATATGTTAGTGTAATTATAACTACTATCGAGACAAACTAATTTTAGTTTACTATCCGAGAGTGGAGGTAAAGGGTACACACTCAGAGTGCTAAATATGGGGCTCCGAGGGCAACACCCCTCGGTATAGGGTTCCAAGGGGCAACCCCTCTGGTGGGGTCTAGGTGCAGCACCCCTAGAAGGGTCCAAGGGGCAGAGCCCCTAACGTTGGTTCCGTTGTCTTTCGAATAAAAGGAAGATGAATGTTCCAGAAAATGATTAAAAACTTTGATATCAGTTTTGTCCTATAATCACCATATAACCAACTAATTTTTGTGCCAATTTGGTGTATAACCACTTTTAAGCACCTTCTTCCTTGTATAAAAGGAAAATGAATGTTCCATAAAATGGTTAACAACTTTGATACCCGAAATTGATTCTTTTACATCTATCTTTCTCACCAAAATGCAAAATAGCAAAGTACTTTTTTGTGTTTCGAATTTGGAAATAGCCTGAATTCCCAATTGTTATTCTTGGATTATCCCAAAATTGATTTCGAGATACCTATAGGGTCAAAATCACATATTTTGGACAGTGTTGCAATCACTATCCTTGAATTATCCAAGATAATATTGATATTCTTAGACCCAACCTCTAATAAAATATTTGCTCGATGGGGGATGGGGTTCTTTATTGCCGACATTTGGGAATTGGAAACGAAAAAAAAGGAAAATAAAATTGGTTTTCGGTTGTTGGTCCTCTTTGTGTTTAACTACTAATTAGTGTGAAACTAGAGGAGAAAACATTAGGGGAACAAAACAAAGAAAGAAGAAAACAAAATGAAAAATAAGAAAGTGATAACGCGAAAAGGAGATAGTAAGAGAGGGTGGTTGTTTCTTCAAGTTCATGATGAAACCAAATCAAACCCAAATGAACACCAAAAATCGAATCCATGATAACCCATATAAATGATTTGGACTTCATTTTCCTCACCAGATGAACCTAGAAGTGATCTTGGGACCATCATTTTCTTCACAAGATTTGGTTCAAAATTTGGACATGCGGTGGGAAATCAAGATGATTGGATGCTTTCTCCGATGATGGTGAGGTAGTAAGGCTAAAGGACATGGTTAACCATGTCCTGAATCTAAAAGTGAGCCACTCCTGAATCTAAAAGTGAGCCACTTCAGTTTCACTACAACACCACTACCTTAGAAAATACCCACCACACCACATCATCTATATCTTCTTATTTTTTATTTATTTTAATACAACGCTTAAAAAAGACAATTTCCAAAAAGAACTTCATTAATAAAACAAATAAAAATTACATTAATAAAACAAAAAAAATACACAAAAATTAAAATCTACATGAATGTAAAAATAAAAATACATTGATATTAATAAAACAAATATTAATAATCATCATATTTTTCTTGAATTTTCCGTTGGAGATTTAAAACCGCTCGAAGTTGTACCGACGAATTTCCATTTTTTGAGGTAAAGTGAAAGAAAAATAGTTGGTAGTTTAGAATGAAAAAATTGGTGGTTATGGTGTGAACATGTGTTTTATAAATGCTTCTAGATTCAAAAAGTATGACAGTCACTGACACGAACTGGGTTCTCCGGAGAGAGGTTTGTTTATGAGGTTTACTTTTATGTGGAGAACATGTGTTCACAACTATACTCCGGAAGGAGGTCCCAGGAGTATACTTTTATCTGATGGCTAAGTTAGTTTTCCCTGAGAGAGAACAAGGTTTTGTGTTTGTAAATAAAGGTGTGAGTGAACATGACCTCAGCCTTGTGCACGGCTTTAGCTTTTTTAGGATGATTGTCGTTGTGTTCTATAACTTATATATGAAGTAATGAAGCTATGTTCAAACTTCACCTAATGCAATATATGTATAAGGGCCAGCCCATTGTTGATTTTAGCAGCCCAAGCAGAAATAAGTTACACGGCCTTGAGAATAAATAAAGGTCGGGAAGGGCATACTTACATCCACAATCGTCTTCTTTTCTTCATCGTGATCCAGTGTTCCTCTTCTGACTTCTCTGGTGAGTGACTTTTTAACAATCATCTTTTTTTTTTTTTTTTTTTTTTTTGCTTTGTAGTTTATGAGACGGGCTACAAAAATGTTCAGATTCACCAACATTATAATCTTGTGAATAACATTTATAGAATATTTCTTATTGATTGCAAATATGACAAACACAACTAATTCGAATTGTATGGCTGATCTATACATACATAAATAAGCATATAAATGTCCAGTGGCTTTCGTTCACACCTACTTACTTTTTTCATTTGATCCCATTCTTCGTTCACAGTCAATGTTAGTTTACACAACCATGAATATTGAAAAGAATTCTAATGTTATGTAAATAAAGAAAATTTTGATTGCAATTGATTTTTATCTTGTTTGAAAAATTCAGGACTAAACAATGTCAGATTATCTATGCGAAGAGTTAATTATTGAAGTATTCACAAGACTACCCCCTAAATCCCTCCTCCGATTTAGATCACTCTCAAAATGGTTATGTAGTTGTATTTCTAGCCCCAGTTTCATACGCATGCACACTTTTCGATCCCCACAAAAAATCCTCTTCAGACATCTAACTAGTGATGGCAAAAATGAAGAACGAAAAGTCTTTTATACATTACATGGAGAGGAGGAATTGCCAATGTATTTGTGTCCCAAACGTGTATACATTGATATAACAACAACAGTCCCTTTCCCTTCTGGGGACACTATTGCTTCATGTAATGGAACTTTCTGTTTGCTGACTGAAAAAGGTTTTACTCTATGGAACCCTTCAATCAGGCGCAAACTAAACGTGCCTGAATTTCCTCGGAGATCTGAATCCTTTTCGTTGCAAGGTATTGGGTTTGGATTCGATCCAATCAGTGATGATTACAAAATTGTCCGGATATCAAATGTCAAAAACCATTCATTTGTTTATGTTGTGAAGAGTGGCACTTGGTGTGAGATTGCTTCCCCTAATCATGCAAATCAGATTCTTAGTGTCCGTTATGATGCCTTGTTTTTCAATGGAGTGTTGCATTGGGTGATATATGTTTGTCATACAGAACCAAAAGACATATACATTCGTCGTATACTAACATTTGATTTGAGCACTCATGTTTTTGGTATGATTCCATTGCCTACATCCAATCGGCATTGGATTACAACAGGACTAACAACCATCCAAGGTTCTTTAGCTTTGATTTCTTATAATGATGAATTTAAAGAAAGTTGGATTCGGGTATGGAGAGATGATTCTTGGTCTGTGGTTTTTAAAATCAATACAGATGAACTTTATGTTGTAGGAGCTTTGGAATTGCATCCACAAGCGACCAACAATGGTGATTTGTTGCTAAATACTTATTCTCATAGGCTCCATGTTTATAATCTCAAGACGGGGGTGTCATCAAGAGTAGGCGAGTTCAATGCTGCTTTAAGTTTATGTTACTTTTATCAGTGTGTCGAAACCCTTCATTTGTTAGACATGGGGGAGAGTATTGGTGAAACGGAAGAACTATGAAGAAAAATAACATTACATTTTGAATTTCGATGCATTTTAATTACTATTTTGGTCTTTGTCATTGGTACAAAAGGTTTTTTTAGTGAATAAACAAATATGTAATTTCCCACTTGGTTGCCAATAAAAGGAGATATTATTGAGGCTAAAATTGTTGATGATCGTTGACGCATCAAGTAGAATATCCTGATCAAGCACATGTTTCTCCATGTGAGCGCATTTACAACTTCACATATGATATGGCATTTTGTCGAGCGTCTAGTAGGTGTCTCTTCACCTGACAGTCGCTCTAGTCTACGGTCATCTGGTGCATCATCTTCAACCTTTGCTGACAATCAAAGATCAAGTTGTAGGGCGCAGCAGTATAGCATAGAACAGCTAGGCGAATCAAGATCATTAAGCTCAAATTTGATTCTAAGCTATAGCACATGTGATTCAATTGCTTGGGCGCATCAGTCCCTGAATCCCACTTAGCCTATCGGAGAGGGCACTTAGCCAAATAATTACCCTTTAAATTTTCAATTTCAAATATAGTTATTATATTATATTAAAAACATTTATTAATATTATTGGTTCTGTCTGATTTTAGTGGTTCGGTTTTGAATGAAAACCATAACCAAACCATATATATTTGGTTAATCAAAAATAAAAACCGCATCACCTTTTTTAGAAATAGTGCGGTTATTTAGGTTAATTTGATTTTCGTTCGGTTTTCTGGTTAATATGTTTACCCCTACTTTTTTACCAGGATACCAACCGGTGAAAATATACATGTAATCGGTTAATGTCATGTCACTACAGACTTTTGCTGAAAATTTACATACGGTCATGGGTACCGGTTGTTAGAGGTGAAAAGGTGAAAATAAGTAAAAGAGTAGGAATTTCGTATATGCCCTTAGTAAATGTCTAAATATCATATTTGCCCGACCTAAACTATAAATATCATATTTGCCATTCCTAAACGTTTAAAATATCAGATTTGCCCAAATATATATTTTTAATGGTTTTTAACATTTAATAATTCTTTTTTTATATTCTGAAACCATTAAAACTAAAATAAAAGCTAGATGGACGATATTACCCTTGCCTTCTAAAATGACAGGAACTCATAAGATCAGGTATCTCTCGAAGTCTTCCTCACCATCATCATCAATGTTAACCTTTCCATCCTCCTTCTTGCCATATCGCCAGTTTCCATCTTCCAATCGAGTATAAACTGCAGATAATTGTAATTTCATCGTCTTTCTTCTTGCCCTTTCTCAACTTCGATTTTGCTCTAATGTTGTTATCGGATGAAGATTATACGACGAACAGAAGACCAAATTGACCTTATGCTTTACCTGTTGTGATGAATTCTTAACACAATCATCTTCTTAACCTCTTGCGTCTTTTTGTTTTGTCTTTTCGCCATATTTCTTGTGCAATTGGCTAAAAATATCAATTTTATGGTTTTGTTTGTGAACTAATATGCAATACGCATACAACATAGCTTACACCAACATTGTGAGATGTAATTTTTGCTTGCTATTCTTTGGTTCAAATGTCAAAGATTGTTGTTATTTATGATTTGTGGATGCGAGATTAGAACTAATGCTAAGTTGATAAGTTATCTGCTTCTTACCTTTATGATGAATCTAAGTTGGCGGCATAGATAAAGTTATGTCGAGTTTTATGAATACTAACTGTTCGAAAAAATTCCTCAAAGAACAACACAAATATCAATAAATTCAATTTACATTACAGATTTTTTTTCTATTTTGATTACAGATTGTTAGTTCAAAACATAGTTGTGAGCTGAATGTGTTTTTAAGGGTTGAAAATAATGAAAACATTGGAATTTGAAGGAGCCAACAAGATCGATGTTGGTGTAATCCCATTCGTATAGATATAACCTGTTGTTGATTGTAATCCCATTTGTATTGCACATTATAGCACATTATCATTAGTTCTAATGAAACATTCAAATGCCAACAAATAACCTACTGATTGTATCCGATTGCACATATTATGATCATGCATTCTAAAAAAAAATTAAGTTATTCATTAGTTGTAATAACGAATTGAATGTTCAATTCACAAAGAAAGCCAGAAAATTTCCTGATAATCATAGCCGATTACAACAAAGAAGATGCGACAAGGAAAAAAAAAGAGGCCCACACATGTTATGATGATTGCTTAGACACATGTTATTGTCAATTTAGTTATTTTTTTCAATTTTAATGATTTTAAATTGTAAAAAAAGGATTAAATAATAGTAAAAACTATTTAAAAAATAGATTTGGGCAAATCCGATATTTTAAAACATTAAGAAGGGCAAATATGATATTTAAAGTTTAGGTCGGACAAATACGATATTTAGACGTTTACTAAGGGTATATACGAAATTCTGCCGTCATAACTCACCTTATGTCACCCAAAAAAAAAACTTAGGGACCATTTAAACCAAAAGTTGAAATTTCGACGAGCTATAATGTCATTTTCACAAAATAACAATCATATACATATTTGACAACTTGTAGTTATTTTCACTCTCACCCATATAAATCCACTCCCATTGCAACAAAGGTTCCAAGCAGTGACAGAACCAGGTGTTAAAGATCATCACTAGCCCAATAGAACAAATATTATCCAGAAGACTTTAGCTTGTTCTAGAATGCTCTAGAAGATTCTAGAACATTATGGAAGACTATGGAAGACTCCAGAATATATCGGAAGAGTCTAGAATACTCTAGAATGACATGGAAGACCCTGGAAGGTTATGGATCATTCTAGTAGACACTTGAGCAACCTAGACTTCTCCAGAACGTGGTAGAACATTCTAGAAACATATGGAAGCTTATAGAGTATGTTAGATAGTTCTAGAGTTATCTAGTAAATAGTTAGTATATACTAGTATCTAGAACCTTCCTCAGAGGCCTATAAATAGGTGTGGAGCTCATTTGTTCCAAATCATCCAAGAAACGCCTCAAAGAAAACAAAGTGTGTAGTAGTCTCTCAAAGTGTAAGTTCTTCTTAAGTGTCTTAATAAAAGTCTTGTTGTTTCCCATATAAAGAGTCGTGTTCAACAATCTGGTATCAGAGCAAGGTTTCTTGATAGTGAGAACGAGTGATTCTCTTTGTATCGTGAGTAGTCTGTGACTCTGCAAGTTTGGTGTCGAAACTAGCTAATTTGGTATTACCGAGGTACTGCCAACATGATGGGTGATCTCCAAGTTGTCGGAGGAATCAAGAAACTCAACAACAACAACTACAAAAATGTGGGACACATGTATGGAGTCATACTTACAAAGACAAAATCTATGGGAGGTCGTTGGCGGAAGCGAAACTACGCCACCAGAGGAAGATGTTAATGGCGCTTTGCGCAAATGGAAAATCAAAGCAGGCAAAGCAATGTTTGCCTTGAAGACCACAATCGAAGAAGAGATGTTGGAGCATATTCGGGACGAGAACACACCGAAAGAAGCTTGGGACACGTTTGTGACGCTTTTCTAAAAGAAGAATGATACGAGACTACAACTTTTGGAGAACGAGCTATTATCAATCTCACAACGTGACATGACGATTGCTCAATATTTCCACAAGGTCAAGTCGATATGTCGGGAGATTACTGAACTAGATCCGCAATCCGTCATTACAGAAGCTTGAATGAAGAGGATCATCATCCATGGACTGAGGCCGGAATATAGAAGCTTCGTTACTGTTGTACAAGGATGGCCCGTTCAACCATCACTTGTAGAGTTTGAGAATTTGCTGGCCAGCCAAGAAGCTATGGCTAAGCAAATGGGATGCATCACGCTGAAGAGTGAAGAGGAAGCACTCTACACAAGTAAAAGTCGGAGGAATTTCAAGCCACCTTCTAAAGAAGGATACAAAAATGCTGACAAAGGGAAGAGTCAGCAAGGAACCTCACAACCATGGAGATCTCAAAAGACCGACAATAAGAATTATCGGGGGAGGAGGTTCGAAGGTAACTGCAACAATTGTGGAAAGTGGGGCCACATGTCCAAGGATTGTTGGTCAAAGAAAAAGTATATGGAAAGCAATGTCGTAACTTCCAGAAAGGAAATAGAGGATGAATGGGATGCTGAGGCATTATGTGCCATAGAAGAAAACGAGTTGGCACTCATGGCAATGATGGGAGAGCGTATCAACTATGAGAATGACTGGATCATTGATTCAGGATGCTCCACTCATATGACTGGCGATCAGAACAAACTACAAGACGTGAAGGAGTACAAAGGGAGTCGCATGGTACTTACAGCCAACAATGCACGACTTCCAATTGCTCAGATTGGCAATACAACGATCACTCCTGGTAATAAATCTGACATGGTCTCACTCCATAATGTTTATCATGTGTCGGGTATGAAGAAGAACTTGTTGTCGGTATCGCAACTAACATCATCAGGAAACTACGTCTTGTTTGTCCCACAAGATGTGAAGGTATATCGAGATCTTAAAATCTCAAAAAAGCCAATAATGGAAGGACGGAGAGTGGAGTCCGTCTATGTGCTCTCCGCAGGGTCTGCCTATGTAGACAAGACTCGAAAGAACGAGACAGCAGATCTATGGCGTGCACGGTTGGGACATGTTGGTTATCACAAGTTAAAAGTAATAATGGAGAAATCCATGCTTAAAGGCTTACCTCAACTTGAAGTCAAAACGGATGTCGTTTGTGCTGGATGCTAGTATGGTAAAGCTCATCAATTACCATACAAGGAGTCAAATTTTAGAGCAAAGAAACCATTAGAGTTAATTCACTGGGATGTGTTCGGTCCAATCAAGCAGACATAAGTTAGCGGGATACGGTACATGGTGACGTTAATTGATGATTATTCGAGATATGTGTGGGTTTTCTTCATGAAAGAAAAATCTGAAACTTTCTCAAAGTTTCTAGAATTCAAGACAACGGTCGAAGGAGAAGTGAGAAAGAAGGTTCGGTGTCTACGCTCAGACAATGGAGGAGAATACACCTCGGAAGAATTCAATCGCTATCTGCAAGA